TTAAGCAATAATACAGTATATAATAATGTTGTCTAATATATTTAAACTTTATTTTTTCATATAAAAATAAATTAAATTAAATTTAATACTCAGAACAGAGTCATGTACATTTTATAGATCATAACATAAACAGTAGAAATCTCACTGTAAGAGCATATTATAATTTCAAGCTCCAAAGTGCACGATAATCCAAATTGTGCAAGTGAATTGTGATTTAATATTAATTTATATATACATATATTTACATAATGGACACGGGTAACGGAAACCGTTCTTCCCTCATAAACTTACATTTTATTAAAATTTTATCTTAAAGAAAAATGCATAAGCATACTAATTTTTATAGCATAATAGTAATTTTATAGTGAAACTCCATTACATTTCATTGTTGAACGATAAAACACATTATGCTATCATTATATCATTTCTGACATACTTCCTCAGAACATATTATGTGCAAGAAAATTAATAATTATATAATAATAAGTTCTCCAACTAGAGAATTAGAAAAGAATTATAGTTTAGAATATGTTAATTTACTATATATATTATTGATATCTTGTTCAAATTAAACATCGTAGTAACTATAAATTCAAATTAAGCTACTTAAAAATTAATAAGAACATGATACATTTAATAACCTATTATGTGCCAAAACAAATATAAAAATTAATAAAAAATATTTTCAATACAATACATCATAAATGAAAGTGGAAAAAACTAGTTTTGAGATAGCAATATAATTATATACGGAATATAATTTATTATTTATTTATTGAATATATGAATGTTTTGGCAGTAACATAATATTTTAATAAATCTGTTATTGTTAATTTTCTGGTAGTCCACAAATAACAATCCTTAATTTTAGATAGATAATAGTATAAATTATCTAATAAATTAACACGTAATAATATGTAAATTAATAACGATTAGAGAGAGTTAATTCTAAAACGCAGGATACTCGAAATATTATAAATAATTATAGTCAATTACAGTGTATAATGTAAAAATAATGATAAAAATGCTCAGACTTTCGATGGCAAATATTGTATAGAAATATAAGCTAAAATAATTTTCGTGTAAGAAATTATCTTTAATCATCAAAAGACATAATTTGTGAGAACACAAACTCTATTATCAATTCGTTGTATCAATAAATAGAAACATTTTTCTATGTCTTCTTAACAAATTCTGTCTTGATGATTTCTGATTACAACTAATAGTTCAAATGAGAAAACATATTTTTCAAATGCAGATTTTAGAATGAACACATCTGTGTTCATTCTAAGTACATTTTACTAGTACTAGGATATAAAATGAATTGAAATTGTATGGCCGGCCAATAATTGTTAAATAGTTACTTAAAGACATCATGTTTATCATTTGTCTATAGGATACAATTAGTTACTTTAAAATGTAGCATACGTAAAATGTGTAGCAGATTATTACATGAAAAAATAATATATATATGAATAGTATACAACTTATTGTTTTAATAAAGACAAGAGAGAATTATTATTATTCCACAGTATGCAATTGTATCTTCTTTATGACTAGAAGCTACATAACTCAGAAATTACAACATTGTCTCAAAATAAGAAAAAATTATGTATGTCACTAATTTTTGAAATGTCACATAATGTAGCGACGTAGCTGGTAGTACTGTTATTTCTATTGTCATCACTTACAACGTTGAAGGCAATAAAGTTCAAACAGATTTATTCAAGGATTATTATTGAGTTTAAAAACCTGTTTTTAATTTTAATATTTTATAAGCAGTAAATAAATGTGATACATATTAAGAAATTTTCCTAAGTCAAGGTAAAAAAAGTAACAATAAAAATTGTTTAACAATTCCTTTGTAGTTTTTTTATAACACTTTTCTATAATTCATATGGAGTCTACGAAGCGTATGTATACTTCGCAACCATATATTTACGTATTTATTGTGTATATGTGTGTGTGCGTGTGTGTGTGAAATCTTTTGACATTGCTAGACTAGGGTACACATGTAGTATATATTTCCAGAGAGAATTATATATATATATATATATATTATATATTATATATCCTTACATATATCATGCAGGAACTCTTACATTTTTCAATCCATCTTAAGAAGAGATAAAATATAAAATTATTTCATATTAA